TTATTTTCCCAGACATGAGTTGCGGCTGGAAGTGTATCCGCTGCATAAAAAACTTACCGCAAAAAACTGCATAAGTTGGCGGTTCATTCCGCTGTGGTGTCCCCGGATTAATAAAGGGACTAAGCCGACAAGAAAATGAATGAATGAGTTTAACATTAACTAATGCATTACTAAAATCTAGTTGCGCTTGTTAACATTAATTCATTCATTCTGAGTTAACATGAACTAACATATTTTTTACTTAAATTACAATAATTAACTTCAGCAAATATGATTACATACCGTAATAAATGTATTAATTGTTTGTTAACATGTTACTAAATACATTAACTAATGGACAGTTGTTTTAAAAGTGTTACCTAATTTAGTTGCAACGTGTCCGATTTTGCCATCAAATGTGTTGAAAAATGTGACAAAAAGTGAAGCAGAAGCTTTTTTAAGAAAATCAAAATGGCGGACATGAAGTTTAACCAAATATGGATTATTTTGTATTGATGATCTCAGCGTGATCAAATAAATCAGTCTTTGTCAAATGATATTATGAAAAAAAAATATATTTTTTTAATGTACATCAAGTGTTGTAATAATATGTCAATATTTTTGTAAAATAAAGCATTTCACATCATCATTCTTGTTTCTCCAAATCAAGAGAGACCAAGAGAGACCAATTTTGTCATTTTTGGCGAATCATATTGCAGTTATAAGCAAAAATTACCATTTTTCATATCTAGCAGATATAATGTCACCATGTGCTCGCAGTTAGCATGCAATGCTAATTATCTCAAAATGGCCGACTGTTGTCCAATTAATTAGACTGACTGTGGTATCGGTCCATCGCTTCTTATTATCACCCTTCATATCAGGAAATGGACGGAGGTACTTCACTTCTGGTCAAGATGGAAGTACTTAGAGCTTATTTGCTTTTCTCATTTCCCTTTCAAGCACCTGTGTAATAATTGACATCCAATTACCTTCCGTTTCTTTTGAAGGATGAAGTGAGTGCAATCAAGTACAGGAGCCAATGCTGAGGAAAACGGCATTGTGATATCAAAGGCAGGACATTGCCTTGCTGGATATTGTATTATTTTTTTAAGTGGCTTTACTTAATTAGCTTTTTTGATGAATAATGCTCTCGATAATAAAGACGCTTCCTTTGATTTTTTAAATCTTTCCTGTGCAGTGTATCGTTCCATACTTTCCCACGGTGTCCGTTTCTAACTTTATTTGCTAACAAATAAAAAGTTACCCTAAAAGGAAGGTTTTATCACGAATTAACAATCATGTCATTCTGACCCTATGTTTCTTTCTGCCTCTGTATTAAACCTGCTTTTGTTATTTATGAAAGTTATAATATTACAAGGTTAGAATGACATGAGGAAGAGGAAAATAAAAGGGAAAACATTTTTATAAAATGCACAATTTAAGTGAAAATCTGTTTAATTCCACCAAAGATTGATTTCTTAACTTCTATGAATTTAAAACATTGTTCTTTTATTGTCTAAAACTATATATATATATATATATATATATATATATATATATATATATATATACAAGACATGTCACTCGAATAGTAATGGTAAAAAAGTGTAACGGAAGAAGAAGCCCTTTCAAAGTATCTTTGTGCCGTGCAATGGCAGCTGTATGGGACAGGATCATCCACATGTCTATAGCAGATATATAAGGTTTCCATACCATGCAGTTGAACCGCGGTAAAGTTAGTTTGACGTTTAACATTCATTAGACATTCGATTTCAAACCAATAAAATCTTTGATCTTGTTGTAGTTTGAGCCAAAAATAAGTCAGATAGACATAAATATGTGCCCTTTATATAGCAAAAGGCAAAAAAAATAAAAAATACCATACGAATGGATTAAGCAATTTAAAGATATGAAATTATATAACAAAACCGATACCAAAATGTTCAGAAAAACATCTTGCTTAACTCAATCTTGTGTTTCGTCACGTGGAGTAAGCATCTTATCACACCCCTACAATAAACTAAAATTATGACTAAGTGATTATATCATTTTTTTTTATTTTTGTTTTCAGCGTAGGTGACTTGTGCCTCTTTCCAAACAAAAAATTGAGTGTATTTTTAAGGTAACACACTAAAGAGCATCACTAGAAATGAGTTGACTTTTCCCCAGGAAGTTTAGTTGGCTACTCTTTTCCATCTTCAGACTGACTGCGAGAATGTTTATTCTGCTGAATCAGATGGGGGTGTAAATAAGACTGAATGCTGATTTAACGCATGGTGAATGTCCGTTCAGATGAGTCAGTTCTGGTCACTGTCATGGCCGATAGCTAGCTGGCACATATCATCCCCAGTCCGACTGCAGCCACGAGGACGTCTGGCGCTGTGTCAGAGCACGTCTGTCAAACACAGCCCAACACAAGCAGATGGTGAAAGACACTAGAAAAGACTGGAACATTCTCTGCTTTGACTCTGGCAGAGCGACAAACGCTAATAACACTGCAACTGTTTTATCCACTGCTGTAGGCACTTGTACCAGAAATGAAAGTCTTGTTTGTGTTTGTAGAGGTGTTGGGATTTAGTATGGTGACAGATGTTAATGCTAAACGGTGGCATGTAATAGAAAATGTACTCACTATATTTACTTTGTCTCAAGTCGTTTCAAATTTATGAGTTGTAACCATCCATCCACCCATCCATCCATACGTCTGTTCGTCTGTCCATCTGTCTGTCTGTCTGTCTATCTATCATTTTTGTAACCATCCAGCCATACACCCAGCCACCGATCCACCCATCCATCTGTCTATCCATCCATCCATCCATCCATCCATACATCCTTACATCTATCTGTCTATCTATCTAGCATTTTTTGTTACCATCCATCCATCCATCCATCCATCCATCCATCCATCCATCCATCCATCCATCCATCCATCCATCTATCTATCTATCTATCTATCTATCTATCTATCTATCTATCTATCTATCTATCTATCTATCTATCTATCTATCTATCTATCTATCTATCTATCTATCTATATATCTATCTATCTATCTATCTATCTATCTATCTATCTATCTATCTATCTATCTATCTATCTATCTATCTAGCATTTTTTGTTACCATCCATCCATCTGTCTATCTAGCATTTTTTGTTACCATCTGTTCATCCATCCATCCATCCATCTATTTGCCTATCTAGCATTTTTATTATCATCCATCTATCCATCCATCCATTCATCAATCCATCCGTCTGTCCGTCCGTCCGTCCTTCCGTCTGTCTTTCTGTCTGTCTGTCTGTCTGTCTGTCTGTCTATCCATCCATCCATCCATCCATACATCCATACATCCTTACATCTATCTGTCTATCTATCTAGTATTTTTTGTTACCATCCTTCCATCCATCCATCCATCCATCCATCCATCCATCCATCCATCCATCCATCCATCCATCTGTCTATCTAGCATTTTTTGTTACCATCTGTTCATCCATCCATCCATCCATCCATCCATCCATCCATCCATCCATCCATCCATCCATCCATCCATCCATCCATCTATCTGCCTATCTAGCATTTTTATTATCATCCATCCATCCATCCATCCATCCATTCATCAATCCATCCATCCATCCATCCATCCATCCATCCATCCATCCATCCATCCATCCATCCATCCATCCATCTATCTGCCTATCTAGCATTTTTATTATCATCCATCCATCCATCCATTCATCAATCCATCCGTCTGTCCGTCCGTCCTTCCGTCTGTCTGTCTGTCTGTCTGTCTGTCTGTCTGTCTGTCTGTCTATCTATCTATCTATCTGTCTGTCTGTCTGTCTGTCTGTCTGTCTGTCCGTCCGTCCGTCCGTCCATCCATCCATCATCTTTTTTCTTCTGTTATTAAGATACTTAAAAAAAGCTGAAAATCTGTAACCATTGATATCCATAGCAGGAAAAATAAATACTATGGAAGTCAATGGTTTCTGGGTTTCAGCATTCTACAGAGTATCTTGTCTTGTGCTCAACAGAAAAACGAAAAATGAAACAGTAAATGAGTAATGAATACAATAAGTGAATGAGTATATTATGTCAGTTTGGGGCAAACTGTTCTTTTAAGTATATACACTCGAAAAATTTGTTCAAACTACATGTTTAAAAATGAGTTTATTGTGACAAATTAATTGTTTTATGTTTAGTCAACTTAAACTTTAAAACTTAATAAATATATTTAATTCCTTCATGTTGTCCCAACACAGGTCGTTTGTGTGGAACCCAGTACTTTTTACAGTTTATTTCTTTCAAATTTAAAATAAGCATGTTGTAATTCTATGCATAAAATGACAACTGATCCGAATAACAAAAAGTGACATGTTTTCAGATTTGTTAATGTCCATTTTTAGACAACAGAATATTATTGTTTAAGTTAAGAAATGTGTATTTTTATAAAATTAACACCGCTTTTTAAATAACAATTATTGCACATTTTCTCAAAAAAAAAAAAAAAAGGCGGCACGGTGGCTTAGTGGTTAGCACTATCGCCTCACAGCAAGAAGGTTGCTGATTCAAGTCCCGCCTTGGCCAGTTGGCATTTCAGAGTTTGCATTTTCTCCCCATGTTCGTGTTCGCATTCGTCTTCAGTCCAAAGACGTGGTATAGGAGAATTAAATAAACTAAACTGGCGTAGTGTATGTGTGTGAATGTGAGAGTGTACGGGTGTTTTTGAATAGTTGGTGGTTCATTCCACTGTGGCAACCCTTGATAATTAAGGAACTAAGCCGAAGGAAGATGAATGAATGAATGAAAATTGATATATTTGTCGCAGTTTTGAAGTGCCATCAAACTTTAGAATATTTTAATATAACTTTATATTTAAATAAATTTTACCTTTACCCATAATCTAGTTATTCCAGAAAAACCAAGACTATTCAGGAGTTTCCTCTTCTTATTATTTTGTTGCTGCTTCCAAATCTTCCAGATTTGCTAATTATTCCCATTCATTGTGTGTTGTTTTGTCTATAGATATGGGAAGTTTTGAGGAAGGGGAACGAACTCAAGCTGTATCCCAAGGAGAAGGAGCCGTGATACCAGCGCCTCGCATTCGCTGTTTCCCTCAACCACAGGTTACCTGGTTCAGAGACGGACGCAAAATCCCTCCCAGCAGCCGCATGTAAGCTTCTGAATCTGTTGTATTCCTCTTATTCCATCTTCATTTAGACTCTTATATCTCTCTTTCCGCAAGCAGTGTGATTGTAAGGGATTGATTTTGAGGGATCTTTGTAGCTATACATCTAGTCCAGAGATACGCATATTGTGTTTTATTGCCTCAAGGTGTGTTTCAGAATGTGTGTGTGTGATCTTGTGGAGGTGTTTTCTTTTTGTTATGTGTGCGTTTATTGACTTGCTAGCGTGAGTTCTTCCAAAAACCCCTGAGTTATGAAGAGCACTCTTGTTTTCTAGTAAAACACTGAACATCAGTCAGTTTAGTGCTGTTTTCTCTCTCTTTCATTCTGATCTATTCATCCATGCATTCATCCATCAATCCATCTCTTTCTTTCTGTCTCTCCGTCCGTCCATCCATCCATCTAACTGCCCATCCATCTTTTTCTCTTTCTGTATGTCCATCCATCCATCCGTCCGTCCGTCCGTCCGTCTGTCTGTCTGTCTGTCTGTCTGTCTGTCTGTCTGTCTGTATGTCTGTCTGTCTGTCTGTCTATCTATCTATCTATCTATCTATCTATCTATCTATCTATCTATCATCTATCTGTCCATTCATCCATCCACCTCTTTCTCTCTCTGTCCCTCCATCCATCCATCCGTACATCCATCTATCTCTTTTTCTCACTGTCCGTCCATCCATCCATCCATCCATCCATCCATCCATCCATCTATCTATCTATCTGTCTGTCTGTCTGTCTGTCCGTCCGTCCGTCCGTCCGTCCGTCCGTCCGTCCGTCCGTCCGTCCGTCCGTCCGTCCCTCCATCCGTCCGTACATCCATCTATCTCCTTTTCTCGCTGTCCGTCCTTCCATCCATCCATCCATCCATCCATCCATCCATCCATCCATCCATCCATCCGTCTGTCTGTCTGTCTGTCCGTCCGTCCGTCTGTCTGTCTGTCTGTCCGTCTGTCTATCATTGTTCTATTGTTCTATTATTGTGTCTAATCTTATATGTATCATTTGTTTGTCTCTCTTTCTGTCTGTCTATCAGCTATCTGTCCAGTCTTCTGTTGCTTGTATTATTATTTGTTTTTTCATCCTTCATTTGACTTGTCTTCCAAATCAGTCCCTCATTTCGTCATTCATTCTATCATTTGTTCGGTCTGTTTCTCATTTGATCCATCACTTGTTCAATCATGATCTGATGACTCTGTCATTTATTTCATTGCTCATTCTATTGTTCATCCTTGTCTCTCTGCATTCTTCTTCCATTCTATCTATTGTATGTTTATTGTGTCTGTTGTTCATTTTGCTGATCATTCAGTTCTTGGTTCTATCTGTTGTTCATTCTCTATGTTTATCTGCCTTTCTGTCTGTCTACTTCTCTGTGTTTTTTTCTGCCGTTTATTCTTTCTGTCTCCCTGCTTGTTTCTGTCATTGATTCTATTGTTTGGTCTGTTGTTCATGCAATTGTTGGGGTGCTCTCAGCCTGTCTGTCATTCATCCAGTCTGTCTGTCTACCTGCCATTTATGCTATGGCCTATTTAATCTGTCTATAAGATTCTGTTGTTCATTCTTACAGTAGGTTAATTCTGTTTGTTTGTCAGCCTCTATGTCATTATTCTATCATTTGTTTTGATCCGTGTTTCTGGATTAAAACAAAAGTAAATTGTTTAGTTTCTTGTTTTTTAGTCTGTCTAACTCACTCTGGTGTTCATTCTATCATTCATCCTTTCATTCATTCGTGCTGTTCATTCCACAACTCTGTTTTGTTTGATTGTTTAATCTATCTGTCTATTGTAGTTTCTATCATTCATTCCATCTGCATGTATGTTGTTCATTTTATCCTCCATCTGTCTGTACATCTATCTGTCAATCTTTAGATTTCAGTAAATATATTGTAACTGAATTGATCACATTTTCTTTGCATCATTTGACATTGCAAAGTCTGAAAAAGGTCGAAATTGTACTTTCCTGTAATGTTTCTCTGTCTTCCTCAAACCCATATATGCTTCGCTTTCCGCACGAACGTCCGTTTTCTACTTCTGAGGCAAGGTTACCACGTGCAAATGAGCGGAGCAGATAACATTTATTCCAGGAAAATCGTTTAATTGAATTTTAATCAGGCCATTGGCACCTCTGTCGCAGTTTCAAAGGCTCCATGAGAAATGGAAATAAGCGTAACATTGACCGAGACGCCCATGGAGGACTGCGAGCCTGTGTCTGAGAGCGTCCGGGCGCTTCTGACTCCGTCTGCTCCAGATTGGCCAATTCTAATCTCTCGCTCTTTATTTTCGTCAGATTGTACTCATTTCGTCTGCAAAAACTAGCTGTGCGGCCCAAGGGTCACGAAATGGAGAGTTTTCGGCTTTCTCCCTCACTTCTCATCCACTCGGTGTCTCTTTTCCCTCTAATCATGCAATCACACAGCCCAGAAGAGAGCTGGATAATCAATGCTTTGGAGAGAAACGCATTTCTCCATTTTTTCACTCACAAGCCAGCGTTCCTTTGAGATTCTAGAATACTGTGGATGATAAAATGACATTTTCAAGCACTTTGTTGCTTTTTTTTTTTTGTCTGTGTTCGTCTACAGTGCTAATTTGTGTTAACGGTGCTGGTGACATTTTCCCAAATTGTGCAAAGTTTATGTTACATACTTTAGAATGTATGGATTGTAGAATAGCATGTCAAGGTGATATAGCTTTCTTAGTAGCAGCTCTAAGACTTTGGAACAATCTTCCAGTCTCTTCAAGAACAGCTCAAACTTTTGAGTCTTTTCAGAGGTTTCCTAGTCTTGTTATCTTGTTTACAGACCTTAGCCTTGTTAGCTTTCCTGTCTTAGTCTGCCGCCTGCCGTACGACCTATTGCATGTTTACTGATTACGATTCTGGACTGTCTCCTTATACCTGTTTTGCCTGACCTCTGATTAAACCTGCACGTGAATCCTACTTCTGTTGTTTGTGTCACTCCCCGTGGTTACACATAGGCCTATATCTCAAACATAATTCAACATCAGAATTATTATAAGTAGAATAGAATTATTTATAGAAACCAGGGGTCCGGTCTTCGTACGTGGATTACTCAGTTAGCTGGATTTGGATATTGACGATTTGACACAATCCAGGATCATTTCGTTCTTCAAAGCTGATTCAAGACTTGTTGTCATAGCAACAGTTCTGCTAGCTCAAACCTGATCGGAAACAGGTTCAATTCATATAAACAGGATTAGATCAGGTCAGTTCATGCAAATAAAATACTGAAAGTATGTTCCAAATGCTGATATTTTCTTACAGTAGTAGTTATATACACTTGGGAAAATAGTAACTATTTTTAACTATATATAAAGTTATATATTAATAAAACTTAGGCACTCCGAAATGAATGAACAAAGACTGCCACCTGGTGGTGCAAAGAGAAAACTTATTGATATGAACTTTTTAGATCGCTTTAGTACAATTTGTGTATAATAGAAATGCACAATATGGGCCTTTTTATAAGCAATAATACATATGCAGTCATAAACATGTTTTGACAGCTAATATTACAGTGATTTTATGCTTCACAAAAGTTGCAGACATCTTTACCAAAATCAAAATGCTTTTGTAAACATCCAGTTATGCTTTACACCGATTAAAAAACGGCTACTATAATAAAGAAAATCTTTTCTAAATGTAGAACTAAATACACTGATATTTATTAAAATACATGATGAATACTCTTGACACATGAAAAGCCTGCAGCTCACAACAAATGTGGAAGGTTATTGCGTGTCATATTAAACAAGCCGTTTACTGCTAATTTGATGTAATTTTGCTCACATGCATAATTGAATATTAATCAGATGATGTCATTACGCTGCTGTGCCGTCAGCCAATCGTTGCATTGCTGATCATGATTTCGAGGATCGATAGATCTGTCCTTCACAACACACGCAGCGATCTCAGATCAGTTTATCCAGACATTCTAATCTGATTCGCGAACATGTTTGAAGAACCAAATTATAGAGAGATCAGTTATCGACATGAAAAGATCCAGGATCTGCCAAATCATCTTAGATCATTTAAGCGAGGTACGAAGAACAGACCTCAGTAGACCTACACATAATATTATTATTGTTGTTTTACCATATGTTAAAAAAAACAAAAACAATAATCTTATATTAAGCTTTATTTTACATCTAAAGAATCGTAAGAAAATTGTGATCTTTATTTTAAGCAAAAAAAAATGCGATTATCATTTTAGCCAGAATCGTGCAGCTCTAATATACAGTACACTGTACCAGGGATTTTCTAACTTTTAGGACTCAAACCAGTGACCTTCTTGCTGTAAGGTGTCACTGCTAACCACTGAGCCACCGTGTCGTCCTTATTTATAGTCAACCTTTCGTTTTTTTTTTTTTTTTTACAGTAAAGATACAATTTGTTAAATTTAGGCTTCCTTTCACAAATAAACACTTGATTCATGAACATTGTCTTTGAATTAACTTTCATTAGACACACAAGTCTCTCTCAGATTTGATATTTAAAAAATTATTTGATATTTTTAGTAAACATATGGGATTTGAAACTTTCCCAGAGATGGGTTGCGGCTGGAATGGCATCCGCTGCGTAAAAAACTTGCTGGATAAGTTGGCGGTTCATTCCGCTGTGGCGACCCCGGATTAATAAAGGGACTAAGCCGACAAAAAAATGAATGAATGAATGAATGAATAATTGGGATTTGAAACAACATTGGGCTTGGTAAATTATGACGTAATATCAATTTTGGTTAAACTAACCCTTTAGTTAATGCATTTGACCTAGCGATAACAAAGTCCACCCTGTGCAAAACTGTATAACTCTCTGTAAATGCACTCATGCATAATTCATGGTTGTTTTACACATGCACTTTCCTACTACATGAATTAAAATGATGTTCGTGAAAACAATTCACTAGAAACGAGGTGCTGCGGCTGCTGCAGACAGTAGAGAAATTATGCAAATCAGCTAACAGACATTTTATTTAAAA